AAAAAAAAAAACCTAGATAAAACTGGTAATGTCCGTCCTTATAGCTGTACTAGGCAACATCCCAACATCATCCGTGTAGTTCAGATTATTTACTTGGAAATGAATCACCTCTCCATGTCTCAATCTTGTGCTCCTCCAATTCATAGATCTGAACCTACACGGGAAAGAAAGCACCTGTAAAATATGTAATATAAAACAATGTAAAATAAATGTATAATATGTAAATATCAAAGGTTACAGTACATAAATATAAAAATCAAAGGTTTGGGGTCAAGATTTTTTTTAATGTTTTTAAAAAAAAACATAAAAAGTTTTTTTTTAAGTCTCTTATGCTCACAAAAATGCAGTAAAATAGTAATATCGTGAAATATGTTGTACAATTTAAATGTTTTTTTTTATTTGAATATTTTCAAAATGTAATTTTTTAAAGCTGAATTTGCAGCTTCATTACTCCAATCTTCAGTGTCACATGATCCTTCAGAAATCATTATAATATAATGTATGAAAATGTTGAAAACACTATTTTTGTGGAAACCGTGATAAATTTTTTCCAGTTTTCAAGATAAGTTGAAAGAATTTAAAGGAAATCTATTTCCCGTTTGTGATGTCTTCAGTCACTTTTGATCGATGTAATGCTTTTTATTTGAATGCTGAATAAAAGTATTAATTTCTTTCAAAAGAACTGACCCAAAATGTTTAAAAAGTAGCGTATATTTAACATATTAAAAAAATTACTTCTCTTTATAACTATTAAATAAGTGAGGGGTATTATTGAGAAGACAACCCATATCTGGAAATCTAGTCAAAGCTGATGAAAAGCTTTAACTGGGTTATAACCCTGAATCTATCCATATACCAGACCGTAACCCATCTAGTTATTTTAATATTACCAGTACTTTCTAGGGATTCACCGATATTAACATTTTTGCCGATACCGATAATTCTTTATACTTGAAAGTCGATAACCGATATATTGGCCGATAAATCTTAATCGAAATTTTTATTTCATTTTTGAGAGCCTGATTACAAAAACAAAAGTCTAACTATTAAAATCCATATCCCAGTCACATCATATTGTTTATGTGGACTATATGGCAGACTTGTGCCGCATTAAACTGTATTTTCCTTTTTTGTCCAATCATATTTTAAGTAATTCCAAACCATCATGTTGAACAGTGCGCATCTGAAGAGTCACAGCTGAGGGAAATATTACATTATTATCAGCTTTAATATATCGGCCTACTTTTCTTATCAGGCCGATAACGATAACACCAAAAATGAACATACATCGGCCGATATCGATATGGTGGCCGATATATCGTGCATCCCTAGTACTTTCTTTGGTAACTATACTGTTACCACATCAGAGGTGACTGATTTACAAATCAAAAGCTCAAGATATCAAGTTGAGGAAATCATTAGTATGAAAAAAGATTGTGGTCGAATACTACAGACAAAGAAACAATATCGGTATCATGCAGCATTATGTGGACAGTCAATGCAGAAATCAATATGATTCAAACCATGAAGGACAACACAAGAGGTGACCCACCATAGGTGACCTGTAATACCGATGAAGAATATTGATAAAATCTGTGATTGTCAGCATACCTGAGAAAATGGCAAGGAAATGAAGTAAACACTACGAAAGAGAAAAAATCATGAAGATAAAAATAATATGCACAGGCTCAGCGGGGTCAGTCTTACCCACAAACCTCTGCAGTTTGTTGTCCCAGAGTGGGGCCGCTCTCAGGCCATTCGCAACCAAAGCAAAGAAGGCCTTCTTGACCTGTGTCGATACAATAGATGTGTGTTCACCTCCTCGAAACAAATATTTGATGTCAACGAGAATCACATTTTAAATCATGTTAAACGATAACAGCCAGGAAATGTACAGCATCCCAACCGGCAGAGTGGTGTCAAACACGACCAGTTTGCAGCTGGTGGGAATCGCATCATAACAACAGTGTTTCTTCATGAAGGTCATATACGCTTCTGCATTCGGATCGGGGTCTGGAAGAACATGAAAACAACAAATCACTTTTTCATTTTGAAAATGCCAAAGAACCTAAAGCAGTAGCATCTCATTGCAGTACACGAGATCCAGGGGGCGGAGTCGGATCCAGATCTGAGGGGTGGAGTTGGGTAGGTTTAGGGATCAGGGGGTGGAGCTGGGTAGGTTTAGGGGTGGGTTTAGGGATAAGGGGGTGGAGTTGAGTAGGTTTAGGGGTGGGGTTAGGATCAGGGGTAGAGTTGGAGCTGGGTAGGTTTAGGGGTGGGTTAGGGATTAGGGGGTGGAGCTGGGTAGATTTAGGGGTGGTTTAGGGATCAGAGGGTGGAGTTGGGTAGGTTTTAGGGATAAGGGGGTGGAGCTGGTAGGATTAGGGATCAGGGGGTTGGAGCTGGGTGGGTTTAGGGACCAGGGTTGGAGCTGGGTAGGTTTAGGGGTGGTTTAGGGACCAGGGTTGGAGCTGGGTAGGTTTAGGGATCAGGGGGTGGAGCTGGGTAGGTTAGGGCCAGGGGGTGGGTTGGGTAGGTTTAGGGGTGGGGTTAGGATCAGGGGGTGGAGTTGGGTAGGTTTAGGGATAAGGGGGTGGGCTGGGTAGGAATAGGGGTGGGTTTAGGGATCAGGGGGTGGAGTTGGGTAGATTTAGGGGTGGGGTTAGGGATAAGAGGGTGGAGCTGGATAGGATTAGGGGTGGGTTTAGGGATCAGTGGGTTGGAGCTGGGTAGGTTTAGCACCAGGGGGTGGAGCTGGGTAGATTTAGGGGTGGGGTAAGGGATCAGGGGGTGGAGCTGGGTAGATTTAGGGGTGGGGTTAGGGATCAGGGGGTGGAGTTGGGTAGGTTTTAGGGGTGGGGTTAGGGATCAGGGGGTGGAGCTGGATAGGATTAGGGCTGAGGTTAGGGATAAGGGGGTGGAGCTGGATAGGATTAGGGCTGAGGTTAGGGATAAGGGTGTGGAGATGGGTAGGTTTAGGTATATGTAAGGAGTTGGATCTAGATAGGACTCCTCCCCGTGGATTTCATGTTCTGCAATGAGGACCATCTCACCTAAAGTACTGGATGCAAATTCACATGATTTATGAAATGTGCGTTGCCCTACCTGTGCTGTTCATTATATAGTCCTCACGGCAAATGTCCTGCCAAAAACAAACATGTTGGCATTATCATTACGTTGATGACTACAATTATGCGCTATGAAATTAAATGAAACAATTGTAATTAGGTGCACTAATAATAATGCATATCATAACTGTTTTATGTGCATTGTTTAATCAAAACAGTAGCTTTCATTACATGTCAAAAACGGTATTGCTATGCTACATCCCTTACAAAAAGTAATTGGTGTATTAGATCAGATGGTAGAATTATGGGACTTTGATACAGTATTTCCAGGCTACCATGGATTAAAATGTATGCGTCATTAGACTTCTAGACTTCTGGTTTTAACACACACACACAAAAGTAATACACAGTAGCACCATGGTGTTTTTTGTAAATAACGTAAAATTAGGGTATTACCACCATGTCGCCACTTGTAAACACATGATGCTTACGTTGAGCTCAGCTGACTTTTTCATTTTTCATTCTCTCAAGATTTATTTTACATAATGCATCAGACCCTGATTTACACCCTGAAGAGAAGGTTTATTACCTGCTGTCGCTTACCTGCGTGTCAGTGTCCATTTGTGCGTGTGCACAGTCGAGCTCCAGTGTGCACATCTCCACGTCCTGCGCATGCCCACTGATCCCGCTTCACCAGAGCTATATTAGGACCGCTGCCTCTAAACGCTAAACGCAGAAAGGCCGATGGACAGAGACAAAGCAACGACGCTCTGGTGAAAATAAGATTATCTATTTTAGGATATTGCTGTAGGAGACCTGTTAAATGTGGCGTAAATATGTCTGTTTTGACACTGACAGACAACACGAAACGAGAGCTGGCATGTAGGACTAAGAGAAGAGACTAGAGCGCGCACGTTATTCCAAATATAGCGCGTGGCCTGTGAGATATGCGCGCGACCACCCATTGCTTCGTGAAGGGTCCAAAATGAAATGTCACACCTGCCAAAAGCCAACTTTGAAATGTATTTGATATTGCTGAAAATATTTAGTCATTTAACGGGGTTTTAATATAATTTACATAAAATATAAAATACCTTTTGATCCTGTGATAGGGATGCACGATATCGGCCGATATGTTCAGCTTTAATGTTATCATCAGCCGATAAGAAAAATTGTCCGATATACAAAGCAAAATTTATTCTCAAAAATT